TGGGTTTGGCGTCTATGAATCGGAAGGTCAGGGGGAAAAATATATAGCGCATTTAATAGCCGCGAATGTGAAGGGGAAAAAATAATAGATTCATAGCTCTCGAATATCAAAGGAAAAAGGTAAAAAAGCATGCAGAAATTCACTTAGTTGCGTCGGCTGATCATGGAGAGGTTCCAGGGGAGCGGCTTGAGTAGTGAGGGCAAACTTAGCCTATGAAGTTTCACTAGGTAAACTTGGCAAAACGTCTACTGGTGTTTGAGAATATACCTTTGACATATGATATTCAGACTCATAGCTCTCGAATGTCAAACGGAAAAAGTTAAAAAAGGGTGCATAAATTCACTTAGTTGCGTTGCCTGATCATGAAGAGCTTCCAGGAGAGCTCGAGTATATAGTGAACGCAAAAAGCCTTAAAGTTTCATCGTAAACTTGGCAAAAACTTCTATTGGACATTAATTTGCATAGCTTGATTGCTGTTTGAGAGTAACACCTTTGAAATATGATATTTTAAAAATCACTTATTCCTTTTTCATTCCTTTTTTATTCATTAAAAAAATCTTCACGTTTATGTCTTACTCTCAAGCAAACCTTTGTCTTTCTCTTCCTTTTTAATTTAGGTCCTCCTTCATTTGTTCCACCTCTTTTTCAGTCCTTCATATATTTTTCGTTTTTCTATTTGTCTTCGAGGTAACAATTTTTCAAAAATTAAATTTCCCTTTTCTATTCATTGTTCTTCCCTTTCTCTCTTCGTTTTATCCCAAAAGTTAAGTTTTCCTTTAATTTCACCATTTTTTTTTCATAATCGGTTATCTGTGTTCCTTTCGATCCMCACTCATTCGCTGTCAGTGAGAATATTTGACACTAGATTACTAGTTGATAATAAAGTAAACGAAAAACCACTGATCTGTCATGTTCATTAGATCTTAATAGCACAAAGAATATACTAGGTTGACAAGGACTTTTGTTTAAATTTTGAATTAGGATTCTAGCTAGTTTTCTCGTGTTAGCGAGTCTCAGTATTAATTAAATCTTCAGTGTATATTTTTCTTTTGATGAGTTACTATATAGAGATAGATCAGTGTCTTATGAAAAGAAAGAGAGAAAGGGAGAGAAAGAGCAAAAATAAAAAGAAAGAAAGAGAGAAAGAAAGAAAGAAAGA